GAACAAGAAAAGGGACGTGTTTATAAGGTAAGGAGACTAGGACAAGAAAACGGATAGTTATTTGTAAAGTGATATTTATCAGCTAAGGAGACCAGAAAATAGACATTTATAAGGTGGTAAGAACAGGACAATAATCATTTATAAGGTATAAGGTGAATAGGACAAGAAAATAGTCATTTATAAGCTAAGGAGCTGATAGGAGAAGAAATTCTGCTGATGATATTACCTAGTTTGGTAACGAAACGTCCAGAGAAACTGAACTCGCCAAAAAGGACACAATATTATAGCCAGCCTTTTCCTTTTTCCTTTCAAAAGAGGGGAGAGGAAGGAGTCCAAAGAGGCAAAGAATTGGGGGGGGGGGGGGGAGAGGGGGGGGGCTACGTCCCGCATGACCTTCAACCGGGAGCGGCGGTGTCCAGCAGGCCCGAGGCTGGGGATGAGGGGCTTTGTAGTCCAAGGCACCCCCCCCACCCCCTCAGGGCGGGGAGGGAAGGAGGGGGGAGAGAGACGTTTTGCCCCCCCTCCCCTCAAGGCAAAGGCAACTTCCGCGGCCTACCTGGCTGTAGCATCGGCCCGCGAGAGGCGGGGTTAGCAAGGACCCCCGCCAAGAGCCGAAGCCGGGCACAGGCCCGGCCGAACTGGCGACCCCGTGGCTCTGCGTGGCTGCCCCGAGCAAGAGCAGGAGGCGTCGGCGGCCCCAAAGGCCGAAAGCGCCGGCCGGGGGCGACGCCGGCGACGAAGAGGTGGGCCTCAACGGCGGCAGGCAAGCCGCGCCGGTGTGGCGGCAAGTGCTGTAATGACAGCCGCAGCCGCGGAGCAGCGCGCCCAGCACCCAGCGAGTCCCGGCCATGGGAGAGCGAGGCTTCGTCGACGTCGTGGCAACCACTCCCGGCCGAGCTAGGCCTTCCGGCGCACGCGCACGCGCCAGGGCCTTCCGCCGGAGGGGAGGGGAGGGGAGAGAAGGGCGGGGGGAGGGGGGCGGACAACGGGCTGCGCAAGCACGGTGGGAAGCGGAAGCCCCGCCCATCCCTGGCACGTGGGCTCGCGTGGCTGGTTAAGTGCGCCTGCGCGGGAAACTGCAGTCTCCCCGCCGATCTAAAAAAGCGGTCACGTTTCTAAGGACGGGGCAACGTGCTTGTTTTAGCGCGCGAACCGTAGAGCGACTCGGTCCGTTTTTTTGCCGGGTCTGCAGACTTTGTGCCCCCTAGTTTTATGAGAGGGCTCTAGTTTATTCTAGTTATGTTCCAATATCTGAGGGGCTGCCACAAAGACGACGGGGTCAAGCTATTCTCCAAAACACGTGAGGGCAGGACAAGAAGCAATGGGTGGAAACTTAACCAAGGAGAGAAGCAACTTTCCTGACAGTCAGAACAATTGATCAGTGGAACGACTTGCCTCCAGAAGTTGTGTGTGCTCCAACATTGGAGGTTTTTAAGAAGAGATTAGACAACCATTACTCTGAAGTGATGTATGGTTTCCTGGCTGAACAGGGGGTTGGACCTCCAAGGTCCCTTTCAGCCCTGCTATTCTATTCTATTCTACTCTACTCTACTCTACATTCCATTCCATTCCGCATTTTCTATTTTATATTCCCCTCCTGAACCTGTTTGAAGATAACTTTATTTTTATGGGGTGGAGGAACTTCCTTGGCAACTGGCTCATATTTTAGGACGGTTACAGTGTCCCCAGGAGTCATGCGAACCACCTTTTGCAACCTGACAAGCAAAAGTCAATGAGGAAGCCAGTTTTGCTTAACAATTGCAGGGATTTCGCTGCAGGGGAGGCAGGGAAGGTCATAACAGGAGGCAAAACTCACTTTGCAACTGTCTCACTTAGCAACAGAAAGTTTGAGTCATAGATAGTAGTCATAAGTTGAAGTCTACCTATATATTAGTTGTTCACGGTTCATGTGGGATACAGAGCACTTTTATGGGAGGGGGGCTTTTAAAGTCCCAGGTCAGCCCTGCAGCCTTCCCTAGAAAGATCCAAAGTCAAATGTTTTCCAACTTGGCAACTTTTAAGATGTGTAGATTTTGACTCCTACAATTCTCTAATCACACTTTTGAATTAAAGTCTTTACATCTTAGTTGCAGAGACTGAGGGAGATGAACCTGGAGTTTAGCTGTGGTTTATGGTTTAGGGAATCAGGCCTATAAAATACAAGTTATGACCACAACTGAGCCCAACATTTCTATTGCTAGGTGAGATAGCTGTTAAGTGAGTTTTGCCCCATTTTATAACCTTTCTTGCCACTGTTGTTAAGTGAATCAGAGCAGTTGTTAAATTAACAACATGGTTGTTAAATTAATCTGGCTTCCCCGTTGACTTTGCTTGTTAAGGGGTTGCAAAAGATGATCGCATGACCCTGTGACACTGCAACCATCATAAATACATGCCAGTTGCCAAGAGTCAAAATTTTGATCATGTGACCGTGAGGAGGCTGCAAAGTCATGTGAAAAATGCTCATGAGTCACTTTCATTGCCATTGTAATTTCAAACTCACTAAATGGATGGTTGTAAGTCAAGGACTACCTGTATGTGGGTATTGCATGATTTTTGAATCTCACTACCTTTTTTTAATACTTCAGAATGCTTCCTTCAACTCATGACTGGGGCTGGTCTTATTAGGGTACAAAGAGAGAACAGATTGTCTTGAATTTCTAGCCTTCTTTACATAAGATCTTTAAAGAGATCGATGATGTGGAAGACGTCCCAACACATCTTCTCTCTCTCTTAGTACCTGCCAAGAGGACTGTTGAAATGTTGAACTGGCTTTGATCAGTGTTAGGGATCTGATGTAGATTTGTAAGTTGAAAGACTTAGAATAACTTTATTGTCACTTTCAATGTACACTCATCAGCATGCATTAAAATAAAATTTCATTGCATACAGCTCTCAAAGGGTCTCTACCTCTAATATGATTTGATTGCTTATTGTACCCTATGAGTATTATTAAGTGTTTCACTTCATGATTCTTGACTCTTGACGAATGTATCTTTTCATTTATGTACACTGAAAGCATTTACACCAAGACAAATTCCTTGTGTGTCCAATCACATTTGGCCAATAAGGAAGTCTATTTTATATACTACATTAACATGACAAAATAAATAATACAAAATTATGCATATACCCACGTACATGACACAGAGAAACAATATAGTCTAGTCTGGATGAGAAAAAGGCAACAAATTTTGCAAGTTTACCAGATGGATGGCATAGGGAACAAAGCTGTTAGAGAATCTGGTAGTCCTGCTACACGGTAGATACTTCGAAACCTCCTCCCAGAGACTGAAGTGGATGTGTGATCTCTAACAATGCTGCGAGCTCTAAGCACATAGCGCTTATAAGCAGTATCCTGAATAACAGCAAGCGAGCTTCCTATGATCTTCTCGGCTGTCCTTACCACTCTCTGTAGGGACTCTGAGACACTACTGCCACCTGACCTGCATAAAGTTGATCCTGTTGATCATGAGTATTTTCTTTCCAAAAGCTCTTGTACATCCTCAGAAGTAGCAGATGAATCTGGGGAAGGGCACTGGACCATTGGTTCTGGATTCTCAGCAGTAGCAAGAGTGCATCATCTGAGGTTGTCCACAACTAAGCATTCCCCAGGTGCTTCATTGGATTAGCCCACAAAGAACATCTGAAGCAAACCAACCATGGGTTGGAAGGCATTACACAAACCATCTGACCTTGGGGATTTTTTATTTTATTTACTTGCATCCCACCTTTATTATTTTTACAAATAATTAAAGGCAGGAAACATATGCAACATGACTTCCTCCTATTTTCCCCACAACACTGAGGTGAGTTGGACCCACACAGTGGGTGGCAAATGATGAAATATGGAATCATCATACAATTTATCTACTTGCATCACCCATGTGTACTCAAGTACATAGTGACATTGCACCATAAAGCAATGACCTCTCAGAAGGTCATAACATTTCGTCTATTATTTATTAAGAAAATTTATGTGGCAACTTGACTCATGACTCCAGGCAGCTTATAGACTAGAGTAAAACCTAAATATGAAGTTCAAGGAATAACTACCTCTCTGGCAACAATAATCAAGCAACCCACCTAAGCAGTTCTCCTAGGTGTTGCAAAATTGGTCTAATGGTTAAGGCACCAGGCTAGAAAGTGGGAGTTGATGAGTTCTAGTTGCACCTTAGGCATGAAAGTCAGCTGGGTGACTGGGCTGATCACCAGGAGACAGTGAGTTCTAGTTCCATCTCAGGCATCCTCTAAAAGCCGGCTGGATGACTTTGGCTCTCTCTCTCTCTCTCTCTCTCTCTCTCTCTCCCCAGCCCACCTCACAGGGTTGTTGTTGGGGGGGGACAGGAAGGAGTACCATGTACGTTCACCACATTTATTTTAAAAAATAAATTTATATTATAAAAATAATAAAGGCAGGAGATAGATGATGGATGGGTGGATGGATGGATAAAAAGGAGGCAGATAATAGACAGTAGATACATAGGTAGATGGTAGAGAGAGAAGGATAGAGATGATAGATGATAGATGGATGATACAAGTTCATAGACGATAATGATGGATGGATGAATAGCTAGCTAATAGGTAGACAGGTAGATGGTAGAGATAGAGGGATGGATGATGGATGATACAGGTTGATAGATGGTAGAAAAAGATAGGATAGATTGATATATTGGACAGATGGATGGATCGGTAGGTAGATAATAGCGGTAGATAGATAGGTATAGTAGATAATGAGAGAGAGGGATGGGGGTGTTGGCAAGCAGGCACCTGTTGAATAGCACCTGCAGCCGGGAAGGCCCGAGAGGCGCCGAAACATCAGAGCAAATATAAAAAAGGACCCTCCACCGGCCCGCAAGGCAGGCAAACCATCTCCTCCCTCTAGGCGCGTCGGACTACAACTCCCATCGTGCCCACCCTTGCCCGCCTGGTTAGGGCGGGAGCTGGCGGGCCCCAGCCCTGCCAGGGGAGGCGCGGCCAGCAGAGGCGGCTCCGGACGGCGGAGGCCCGCCTGCCTTCCCTCCTCCTCCTCCTCCTCTTCCTCCTCCTCTTTCGCCCGCCGCGGCCGCCTGCCATTGGGAGCCGCGCCGAGGCAGCCGCTCTTGCTCCGCCGCCATCATGAGCTTCTTGTTGTAAGTGCCCGAGACGCGTCCTCCGGCGGCGGAATCGCCTCAGGCTCCGGCGGCCTTGCCGGCGGGGAACAACCGCGAGCTTGGCCGGGCCTCGGGCGGAAGGCAGCGCGAAGAGCCTCCGCCCGTGGCCGAGGAAGGCGTGAGGGGAGCTCGGCGGGGCTGCCGGCGAGGCTCTTCTCGGCCCGTTTGTGGCTCTTTCCCCCTGCTCCGGACTGCTTCCCCGGCCCGGCCCGGCCCTCCCTCCCTCCTTTCCTTCCTTCCTTCTTCCTTTCCTCCCTCCCTCCCTCCTTTCCTTCCTTCCTTCCTCCCTCCCTCTTTTCCGTCCTTCTTTCCTTCTTTTCTTCTTCCTGTCCAGCTCCTGGGGGAGAAAAAGTGTTTTTATAAAATGTATATTATTAATTTTGAGGGTAGGAGGAGAAAAAGGAAGTGGGGTGCCTTGGCTGGCCTTTCTCTCTCCCCCTCCAGTAAATGGACACCATTGAGAGGGCTAGGATATTGGGGAGGGGGCTATTGAGAGGATTCAAAGACCCCTACTTGGGAAAAGAGGGGGATGGGTGAGTTGCCTCCCCCCCTCCCAAAGTCTGCTTTGAAAAAAGTTTAAAGTGGTTTTTTTTTTTAATTTCCTAGATATCCCCAAATTTGGGTGGGTGGGAGAGGATAGTCCTTGTTTTGGGGTGCCCTGTGGGGGTGATCTTCAGTGATCCATAAGGGTAGGGGTGTATATGTGGGTGCGGGGTGCATGTGTTAAAAGTGTCTTGTGTCAACTGGAGTTGGGTAGCCGATAAATCTAAATAAATGAACTCCCTGCAGTTAAATTGGGGCAGGATAATGGGAGGTTTTCAGCATGCCTCCCCCCTTTATGTCTTGGCTTCCCCCTGTCCCCCCCCTCCCCATCTCCACTCAACAGCAGCTGGGTGTCTCCCCAGGGGTCTCCTTTTGCAGCCATAAAATGGGATGACATCTCCCTCCCACCCTTGTCAAGGGAATCCAGGGGTCCTGTAATCAATCATCTTTTCTTTGCAAGGGTCTTTACAGCCACCCTGGTGGGATTTCGTTTTGTTTTCAGATGGAGGAGATGCCCAGTTTAGAAACATTTTGTGTACGTGTGTGTATTGTCTGGGTTTTGGCCTTTTGAGATCCAGATTGACAGCTTAACCCAGTTGGGGCTGTGATATGGAGATGGCCTTCCTCTTCCTTTTACAGACTGGCTCTGGATGGCAGCTGTGTGGTTGCATTGTTCCGTTTTTTTCTTAATGATCTTTGACAAAAATTCTGTCCGTAGCGAGAAGCAGGTTTGCCATCTAGTTAAAATGAAAATCCTTTAAAAAAAAAAAGTATCTAAATTTAGAAAGCAGTGGTGTGGCTCTTAACAGCTTTGCTGGGTCTTTCTAGAATATCTAGAGGAAATGCAACTTGTGTGGCTTTTCTTTACCGTAATATGATGTACATTCTCAGAATTTTGTATTTTGCTTTAGATTGCAATGGAATGGAGATTGTATTTTAGGGTGGGTTTTTTTTTTAATTCTCTTTGGAGAGAAATTTTACAACTGTGCTAATAAAAATGATGTCCCTACTTCTATTATTGACCTTTGAGAAATGCTGGGAATACATCTATTAAAGATTGTTGCACCCCTTACGGAGTTGTTGAGGAGTTATATATGTTGCCTTGAACTCGTGAATATATCTTTAACCATAAATAACAGTCCTTACTAAATTTTCTTTATGTTAACTTTTGAGGAAGCAGCATCTATTAAGGAGGGTTTACTCCCAAAATGGCACACAAGTAGTAATACATTATGAATTTTATTAAACCAATGGAATAATAAATATGTTGGGGTATCCTTATTTATTAAATCAATTTTTCTAACTACTATCTAGCATTGGTATCAGTTCCAAAATTTGAAAAGTTGACTCTATTAATTTGAAGGTTTTATGCCCAAATAGTCATGACTAGGACAAACATATGTACAGCCTATGGGGTCCCCCCCCCTATTTGGTTTTCTGGTTCAAAAGCAGAAACTTAATCTCTACAGGAGTGGAGACATTATAATTGTGGTAAAAGACATTAGGAAAATGAATTACCACTTAAAGGATAAATGCCAAGGGATATCCTGGAGAGGGGTAGGGGCTTCAAGGCTAAACAATTCATATAGCGCTTCATTGAAAAAGACAAATTTAGTGAAAACTGATGGTAAGGTCACCACCATGTTGAACTCTGATGATCTGTTGCTATCCTGGCTAGTGGTGAGAACTGAAGTAGTGTAGTCTAACCACATTTGATTGCTGCAAGCTGAAAAAATATAACTTGTGCATACAAGTGAGTTTACAGGAGTTTTTGGCTTACCACCATTTGTTTTGTGACCATTTGAAGTTACAGCTGTATTTTTTAAAAAAAAAGTGACATCTGGTCCTTGCACTTATGACCATTGCAGCAACCCCACAGTCATGTGATTAAAAATTTGGACAGTTGTAGGATCCTGAGGTCAGGTCTTCCAAACTTCCCAGTCAGCTTTCAATTAGCTTAACGACCATGTCTTTCACTGAACAACTGCTATAATGTGTTTAACAACCAATGGCAAAAATGGTCTTAACATTGGGTGTAAGTCACTTAAGAATCACCTTGATTAGCAGTGGGAATTCTGATTGTAATTGTAAGTCGATGACTACAGGTAGTCCTCGACTTATGACCATGATTGAGCCCGGAATTTCTGTTGCTAAGTGAGACAGTTATACTAAGTGGGGTTTGCCCCATTTTACGGCCTTTTTCATGCCACTGTCGGTAAGTGAATCACTGCAGTGGTTAAGTTAGTAACACAGTTGTTAAGTGAAATCTAGCTTTCCCCATCGGCACTGCATCATATGAATCGGTTGCCAAACTTCCTAATTTTGATCACGTGACCAGAGGGATGCTGCAATGGTAATAAATATGAAAAACTGTCCTAAGTCACTGTTTTCAGTGCCGTTGCAACTTGGAACGGTTGCTAAACGACCTGTTGTAAGTGAGGCCTACCTGTAGTGTATATTGATCCGTTTTTAATATTGTGCCATAAAACACAACCGGTCTATACTCTAACATGTGCAGATTGATTGCTTTTAAAATTGTTGTTCTCAGACAGGGAAGGGCAAGACAAGCCCTTCACTCCGTGCTGTAGATTAGTATTATTGTTTTATTTTCTTCTTCTTGTGCCCTATCCATCATCGGGCATTGACGATGCTGTTCTCGATCCTATTTTTATCAACAGCTGCAGGAAAAAGTGCTGCTCAGTTTTGTCCAAACCGGTCCCTTAGATTTGGAAGCCCTGATGTGGACCTGGACCTCCTTTGCCTTAAATCTTTCCTTGGAGGATTAAGTGAAAGGTGCCATATTTTTCCGGGTGTCGCTTCCCATGTCCAAAATATTCTAACTTTCGCTTTTTAATGGTTTTGATGTGTTGGAAGAAATAGCTTTCTGGGTTCAGTTCCAAATGGGGAAGAAAGACACTGGAAACATGGCGGTTGCTTGGAAAGATGGTTTAATGGTGGACAGGGCCACATGGCTTGGAGCTCCAAAGAAGGGCTGAGAAGCTGAGAATGCCCAGGTTTTATACCCTCTGTTGAGATTTGAATTTGAGCTTGTGTTCTGATTGGTTGTCAGACTCCCATGGGGCCATGCAGGGGCAACTCTTTAGGCTGTCCTGAGTCCCAGGCTTGGTTGAGCCTTGCTGGATGATGATGTAATGAAAGGGCTTTGGGCAATTCCTATTATGGCTCTACCTGGAGTAGATCTTTGTTATGTAAAATAGGCTGGCCTAGGCCAGAGTAATGGCCCATTATAAAGGTGGGCGGGGGCTGAGTTTCTGCTTCTGAGGTGAGTTTCTGCTTCTGGGTTTCTACTCTTTTTAGGGGAAATAGTCTGCCTTTTTAATATTTCCTAGGATATTTCATTTTTTCTAGGAAAGGGGTGGGTGATAACTTCCTACAGATGATTAGATGATTTCCCTTGGTTTTCCCATGTGGCTTATCGCCTCCTCATTTCTGATTTTGTCAACCCAACTTATACGTGACAGCCGCCTGTTAAATCCCCATTTCAAATGCTTCCAGTCTCTTCAAGTGGCTTTCTGTCAGAGACCAACTCTCCCCTCCATAGAGGAGGATAGAAAAGATGTAACATCTGACAAACATTGTTCGATTTTGGCTTGCTCAAACCCAACAGCAAGGGTCCACACCAGACAAACAAGCCAAGATCAAGCAGATGACAGCTACCACATGGCCTGGTGAACTAAGCCCCGCCCCTTATCCACCCGGAGTGAGGTGGCAGCCATGTTTGAAAAGGGGTGGAGCTCGTAGCCTAGGGCTGCTATGCTGCGTTTTACCCTCCTGATTAAAAATAAAACAGCAACATTGCTATATATAAACACTTCCTTTTGGCCCCTTAAGTCTCAACACCTTGAAATTGTGAGAAACTTCTTTGACGTCTTGGGACTGACAATGGAAATGCAATCAGCAAATAAATCTGGAATTAAGAATGAGGAATGCAGCTTATTTTGTTTTGGGCTCTTAACAAACAGGAGATGCAAACATGCAATTCTTTCTTGTTTTTGTTTTAAATTCAGGTGTTTTAAGTTAATTTCGAGTCGGTGCTGGAAATTACCGGTAAAACCACCTGAAAAAAAAAACAGAGAAACTGAGTTTCTAATCCTGTTTTCCAGAGTTTTTGTGGTTATAAGGGAGGTGAGGGGAGAACAGGAATCCAAGTATTTTATAAACAAATCATGGCATATATATATATGTATATATATGCCATTTCTTCTCTGGATGGTCTCTGGAGTTGATCTGGCTGTGGTTGTACACCAGTATTGGGGTTATGTGCTCATAAGATTCTGGATTATTATTGGATTTCATTGGAAATTTGAGACTGAATCTTCAAGTTGGCAGTGGTTTTTTTAAAAGAACAAATTGCTGCATAGTGACAAAAACCTACCCTGCAATTCCCAGGAAGATGTTAAAGATAGTTCTTGTGG